ATTGTCGTGCGCCGAGTACTCGAACAGGCAATAGAAGGGGTTGAACATTTCGTGCGAGAGCAAGAAAAAGAACTCGCGCGAGAGACCACCGTAATCGAGCCCGTCTTCCTTGTCGAAGATGATGACCAGCTTCTTCTTGAGCTCGGCGACGGGCAGCCGCATGATCTCGTTGTACGAGTCCTCGAAGATGGCATTGCGCGAGACCTTGATCTTGCACTGGCCCTGCAAGGGGCGCATCTGCGGCTGCGACCGGAAGTAGATGAGCTTGCGCCGGAAATCGCGCTTGTACTGCGGCACGCCCTCGTCGAGCGAACTCGGCAACCGCGGATCGTCCCAGGTCGTCGTCTTGGTGTTGTGGTCGACAAAGTAGACGCGGCCCGTGCTCGTGAGCCGCATTTCCCACCCGGACGGGAGCGGACCGAGCTGCGAGACCGACTGCTGCTGCACCGTCGAAGACGACGACGCATTGTACATGCTATGTGATGGGGTTGGTGCGCTGGTGAGTGAAACCAGAGCTGACCAACAATCATCAGCCAATCAGAGGCGTACCGAACAGTCTGCTGCCGGCGCGGATCGACCCATGTCGTCGCGCGGGTGTTGTGGTCGACATAGTAGACGCGGCCCTCGGGCGTCATGCGCGACTCTATCGGCACGGCTGGGTCAGCATCCCAAGCAAAACATACCACACAGCCTCGAAGAGAGAGAGAGAGATCAGAGCGTACCCCAGCCTGGCGGCAATGGGCCTTGGCCCTCGGTTGTTTGCGTGGAAATATGCAGGCCCGTCTGCGGCGTCTGTGCGGGAGACTGGTTGCGCTGCTCGCCCGGCAGACTGCGCTCGTTGTGGCGCTGGCGTTCCAACTCGACGTTGTTTGCCGTCGCGTTGACCCTAAAAATCGGCGCGCGGGGATTCGTCAGAGACAGCGCGCGCGCGCGTGTCGCGGACGAGTCAGCGGGAATGCGTACGCCGGTCGGTTCCACGTTGTCGTTCGTGTGTTGTGGTCCACGTAGTACGTGCGGCCTAGGTGGTCGATGCGGCGCTCCCACCTACAAGTCGAGCGCGAGTCAGTCCCCTGCAACAGCATCAACTCGACCCACTCTAGTCTCGACAAAGAAACGCACCCTGGTGGCAACGACCCGAGATGGTCGGACGTCGACGAAAAACTGCCATGATTCGACACGCTGTTCCCCTGAACCGACACGCCCGGCGGCGCCGACGAGGGCGTCGACGATGCCGTCGATGCAGTCGCGGCCCCTGCACCATTGGCCGCAGACGACGAGGCCGTGGCCACGGGCGCGGCGCGGTTCGCGCCCATGACCATGGTCGACAGGTTGATAATGACTTTGCCGCGCACGACGTCGACCGACTGCGATTTTTTCAGTTCGAGCGTGAGCATTTCGTCGGCGTCGGCCGAGTCGAGGTTGAGCACCTGGCCGACTTGCACATTGACGACGCCAAGAAACCCTTGGTTGCCTGCGCGTTTGAACCGTTTTTGGTCAAAGATTTGCACGGCAATGACCGACGAGGCCGTGACTTCACTGCACGCATTGCAGAAGAGGCAAAATAATGTGAGCGACACTACGTTCATGAATTGGGAGAGGGGGGGGGGGGGGGAGATCACGAAACGGTCCACGTACAGCTCAAACGACTCGTTCCAATACGGGTTGAGCGTCTTCTTGATGACGGCCGTGGTCTGCGTCTGCGCGCCATCGACGGTCACGACGGCAAACGGGTCCGGAAGACCTAGCATGCGCGCCGAGGGCTGGTCAGCAGCAGCACGTCGTGTCGTGTAGTGCAACCATGACAGACGTACGGAACACATCGCGCTTGTAGAGTCCATCCGCGGCAATCACTGGAGCAGGAAGCGGTTGAAGTGTCAGACTAGCGAGCGGCGGCATGGTACGCGGGCGGCGCACAGCGTGATCGTACCCGTCAGACGGATGGAGCGCCTGGAAAGGAAAATTGAAACAATCTGTCAGGTAATGGCCGAGCAGAGCAGGCGTAATCCGATACGCGGGCCAGGTGGCTGGGACAAGAGAGCACGTACGTGCGGTGCGAGTCGACCGACGCCATGATGGTATTGGGCACGTCGAGGAGGTCTTACTTGGCGCGAATCGGGGTAGCGTCGTTCGTGCTGGGCGCGGGACTGGGTGTCGAAGACTGACGTGGCACTCGGGTCGGTTGAGCAGCAGTGTTTTGGGCGAGCAAACGTGACGGCGCGGTGCGTTTCTGCCCTTGAGACGGCTGCTGGAATTGGTAACGCGCGCCGTCGGCGGGCGCAGGCACGATTGCAGAGGATGCAGTTGGTGCGCGATGCGTGCCGGACGAATGGTCGGGCCTGTTGCTGGGTTGCTGGTGGTTTGGCGTGTCGTGCGGCGTGCAGCAGCGGGGTAGCGGGCGCGAGGCAGCGAGGCGAATGCGCCAAGTGCGGCGGCCGGGCGCGCGCTCGACGGACGGGGATCGAGGCGTCGTCGTCGAGGACGGTGGAAGCGCGGCGTGGCGGTGGGGCGGGCGTGCTGCTGCTGCGGTGTGCACAACGAGCGTTTTTGGCGACTCGCCGTCTGTCGCGACGCTGTTGGTGGCGGACGCGCTGGCTGGCCGGCCAGGGTTTCTGGTTGATCCAGGGTTTGCTCTCTGTGGAATGTGGCTCTGCCTGTTGTCCATAATCTATTCAAATCACCCGCATCTGTTCCTTTGAGCGGCTCACCAACCCCTCCTCCATGTTCGCTCGCGTGCACTGGCCTTGTACGCGCGGGTGCTCGCGCTGGAGCTCGAGGTGTGCCGCCGTGAGCGCCGCGTCGCGGGCACGACCGGCCCGTCCTTGTGCCGCTCGGCCACGCTTGATCAAAAACCACAGCGCACGACATGGCGAGGGGCACTCATCGGCTGGATCAGTCTACCAGATGCCCTTTCCACAAGGCCGGCACGCCATTCTATGCGGCCACAGCCGGTTCGCCAACCGGTCGTCGTGCCGCATCCTGCTCCTCCTTACTCGCCGTCGACCCCCTGCGCAACCCGGCACCACATGTCGTCCACTGGAACAGCATCACGATTGGCAGCGTCAGTGCCGTCCAGGTGACGACCATCCCCAACTCGAGCCAAAACTTGGACTTGGTCCACCCCGTGACGGCGCCACGACCCGACCGCCACGTCTTGACAATCTGTGCAAGCGCATTCGTGTCGGTCGGCGCCAACGGCCGCAAGACCAGTTCTGCAGAATCATCCAGAATCGCCCCCTTCATCCTCGGGTCCACGACTACGACCGACGGCAGCGTCGACTTGCCGAGCGCGCGCAACGCCTGCCGGATCGCGTCGCGGTGCGGGTTCGTCATGTCCCCGTCGCCCCACGCGAACCGGAAGTAGTTCGCCTTGGTGGTCACGACGTGCGCGTACTCGTTGCGCGTCGCTTCGCACCCGACAAAGACCATGGCCACGTCCTCCGCGCCGTGCCGGTCCGCGAGTGCGTCGAGGACGGGCATCAGGTCGCGGCACCCGTCACACCATTGCGCGGTAAACACAAACACGAGAATCGGCCGTGACGTGAGTAAGACGGCTTTGGTCACAGGCGTGCCGTACCCGTCGACAAGCGCATCCCATGGTAAATGTTCTCGCAGCGCCGTTGGCAGCCGCGCACCGTCTTTCGTGCCGTTGTCGTCGGCGATGGCGATGCAAATGTCGGGCTCCGAGAGCGACCGCGGCGTAGTGGGGGTTCTTGGTGTTCTTGGGGTCGTGGGCGTGCGTGGCAACGTTGGCGTCTTGGGCGTCGTTGGGGACGTGGGTGTCCTGGGTGTCCTTGGTGTCCTGGGCGTGCGCGGCGTGCGCGGCGTCGTCGGCGTCGTGGGCGACTCGTGCGTGTTTGATGGCGGGCTGCGCGGGACGGGAATCGATAATTTCGGCGCGCGTGGAGGCATCAGCGCTGAGCTCGCCGTGGTCGGGCGTGTCGGTGGTGGCCTCTCGGCGGCGGTCGAGCGTTCTGGATCCATTGTTGTGGTAAAGCCGGTAGAAATGGCCACTTGGAGCCCTCGAGGACGACTTGAAGAGAATGGATGGAGGAGACTGGAAGCGTAAAAGGGATCGTCACTTGTCGCCACCCACCTGTTGCAAGCAACTCTGCCGCTACAGGGGACCTTTTGGTGCCGCTCTGCTGGTCGCCCAACCGTCGCCACAACCGAGCAACAACGTTCGTTGACTTCTTCTTGCCCGTTTCTCCGCCACCCCAGCATGGTCACAAAGAGGAGGGTACGCACCTGCAGAGCGCCCAAAGTTGCAATAACGTCGCGCAACTGGAGCGAGTTTGAGCCAGAGTCTGTGCGTTGTTGCATGGAGAGTGTTCTCGGCCCTGGCCGCCCCACCCTGTCGCGGCGCCAGGTCGACCTCGCCCATTTCCATTGCGCCCACCAAGGCATCACGCACGGTCCTGAACGCCGCGGCCCAGCAAGATGCAGCAAGTTGCTCTTTGGAGGACGGGGCGCGGGGCCGGTGTCGGCGGCAGCGCTGCCGGGCCGCCTCGTCTTGGCGGGCGGCGTGGGGCAGGGCGGCAGCCGCCGGATCTCGCAGCAAGCGTGCTCCACGTCTGCTCACAGTTGTATTGGTGCCGTCCGTCGGGGACGTCCGCGGCAGCGGCCTGGCCACCATGGGCCGGCAATGGTTGGCGGCGGGCGTCTCACGGCCCACCGGCGCGTCTCGCACCATCATCACCCCATCGTCGTCGCCCGTGCCCATGCCTCTCGATGTCAACCACCAGCACCGCGGCGACGGTCGCGATGTCGCGGAACATCTTGCACCCGCGACGCCGTGCGGCACATTGCCCCTTGTCGTGAAATTGTCCAGGTCCTGCCAAAGCGCACGACTCCGGTTTCAAACCTGCCCGGCCTGAGACGGACCGTTTCAGGCCACACAACACCGAAACCACCGGCCCTTGTTGCGCCCAGCTCCACTTTTTGGACCTCCACAACAAAAAATCGAGTGCGTGCACGCCAAAAAGAAGGAAAAAACACCATGCCGACGGCGACAGGATTCGAACCTGTGCGGGATCAACCCAGCCGATGGCAAGTCGGCCCCCTTGACCGCTCGGGCACGCCGCCCCCCGGGATGGTATGTGCGAGCGTGGTGGCGGTCGGTGGTCCCGGGTAGTGCGCCCAGTGTCGACAGTCTTGGCGGTGGTGGAAGCGCGCGGCTGTGCACGGGTTCGAACATGTGCCCACCTGCGTGCAGTTCAGTTACCGGTCTGGCCAGCCAGCAACCGCGACGGGTCATGCTGCCTCACCTGATGCCATCAACACCGTCGCTCCATCGTCTCGCTTGATCACTGCTGGCCGCGCGCAACAGGCAAGGGAACGCAACACCAATCCCCTTCGGTTGCAACTGACAGCAAGTCCGGCCAGAAGATTACAATAACGATTCGCCGCTGCGAGAAAAGCAACTGGCTGTAGCGCCGCCGTCCGCGGCCGATTCCATTCAACACGACTTTCCGGTCAGTGCGCCGACCGCACCCAAGATGTCCACCAACGCGCGCGTGCTCTCGGCCGCTCGGACCATTTTGAACCGTCAACCGGACCTGATCAACGACGAGTACACGCTGCTCGGCAAGGTCCAGCAGGCCACGAGGTTGCGCAAGTCCAAGGCGCTCGACCAGGCCTTTTCCGCTGGTCCGTTGCGACTGGTGGAAAAACTTGTTCCGTAATCTGGCCGGCGATGATTGATCACACCCCACCGCCATCGTAGCGATTCAGACGCTGCGGTCCGAACTAATCCCAGAGGCCGGCGACTCGGACGAGGCCGCGGCCTCGGACAGCGGCGCCGAGCAGGACGTCACGTACTCGGAAGTGGGTGTAGGTGTCGCTGCCTTGCACTCTCGCTGTACTCTTGATAAACAATCCAGTTTTTTTGACCGCGTCTGTTTGTCGTGCTCAGAAAAACCGACTCAACCAGCGCATGCAGGCCATGTACAGCCGCAACAAGGCCGCGATTCGCGACGCAGTGCTTGCCGAAGTTAACTCGACGACGCCCGCGAGCACACTGACCCCGGCTGCCGACAGCGCCGATGCATCTGCATCTGCAACAGCGACGGCACCGGCTGATGTGCCGTCGACGCCCAAGAGGAAAGCGCGCGATTCGATGACGGCGACGAACCCAAAGGAAAAGCGCCGCCGCACCGACAAGGCGGCAAAGACGTCGGCTGCGGTCACGCCGACCATTACCTTGGCCAATCTCGGCGGTGTCGCTGCGATCAGCGAGGCCCTGCTCGAACTCGTCGCGCTCCCGCTTATGAAGCCCGAGGCCTATCAGCACCTCGGCATCTCGCCGCCACGGTGCGCACTTCTACCCGTTCCGCGTGATCGCCGATCCCCCACCATTCTCTGACTTTTCGTAACCAGAGGCATCCTCCTCCACGGCCCACCGGGATGCGGCAAGACCTCTCTTGCGCACGCCATGGCCGCGCACTGCGGTGTCCCCTTCTTCAACATCTCCGCGCCGTCCGTGGTCTCGGGCATGTCGGGCGAGTCGGAGCAAAAGATCCGCGACATTTTCCAAGAGGCCAAGGACGCGGCGCCATGTTTGCTCTTCATTGACGAGATTGACGCAATCACGAGCAAGCGCGAGTCGGCGCAACGCGCCATGGAGGGCCGCATCGTGTCGCAGCTCTTGACGTGCATGGACGGTACGACGATCCCGTTCTTGCTGCGCTGATTGTTTGGAGCGGACATTAACGCGAGAGTATTTTCGCAGATGTGTCGTTTGACAAGACGGGTCACCGCGCTGTGATCATCATGGGTGCGACCAATCGACCTGACGCGATTGACCCGGCACTTCGCCGTGCCGGTCGGTTTGATCGCGAGATTTTGATGGGCGTTCCTGATCAAGCTGCGCGAGCGCAGTACGTCTTCTTTGCACCTTTTTTCCTTTTGAGCTCGAGGAACTGACGCAATTCTGATTCTCACGCCTTGTTCAGAATTCTCAAGGTCCTTGCTTCCAACCTCAAGCTTGCCGGCGACTTTGATTTCGACGCTCTCGCCAAGGTCACGCCCGGCTACGTCGGCGCTGACTTGACGGCCCTGGTCGCCGAGGCCGGTCTCATTGCCGTCAAGCGCGCGTTTGAGCACGGTTTCGATGAACCCAGCGCCGAGAGCACGACCGATGCGGCCATGGATGTGGACTTGGTCGATGTCGCCATGGCGTCAACGACGATCGCGTCCGCGCCCGTGACCCCGACGAAGACGGAAGCAGCCGCATCCGCCATGGACACTGACGACACGCCTGAACGCACGGGCCCGCCGGCGCTCCCGCCGCAACTGCTCGAGACCCCGATTGGCCGGTTCCTGCACCGCAACCCGGGCCCGCTGAGCGAAGTCCTGCTCTCGCGCATGTGCATCACGAACGACGACTTCCTCGCGGCCTTGCCCAAGGTGCAGCCGAGCAGTAAGCGCGAAGGGTTTGCGACCGTGCCCGGCGTTACCTGGGACGAGATTGGCGCGCTGTCCAAGGTGCGCAAGGAACTGCGCATGGCGATTGTCGAACCCGTCGCGCGGCCAGAGTACTTTGCCAAGATTGGGATCAAGGCGCCCGCCGGCGTCCTCCTGTGGGGCCCACCGGGTTGCGGCAAGACGCTGCTTGCGAAAGCCGTCGCCAACGAGGCGCACTCCAACTTCTTGTCGGTCAAGGGGCCCGAACTGCTCAACAAGTACGTCGGCGAGTCGGAGCGCGCCGTGCGGCAAGTATTTGCCCGCGCGCGCGCCTCGGCTCCGTGTGTCATCTTCTTTGACGAGATTGACGCGATTGCCCCGCGTCGTGACGACGCCAAGTCGGAAGTCGCCGCCCGCGTCGTCAACACGTTCCTCACGGAACTCGATGGGATGGAGTCGAGGCGCAACGTGTATGTGATCGCCGCGACTAACCGCCCGGATACGGTCGATCCGGCAATGTTACGTCCTGGGCGGCTCGATAAGTTGCTCTACGTCGAGCTGCCGACGCCTGAGGAACGTGGCGAGATTTTAAATACGGTCGCGCGTGCGCGTAAGACGCCCCTCGACCCGAGTATTGATTTGGCCGTGCTCGCGCTCCGCTCAGAGTGCGAGGGGTTCACGGGTGCCGACTTGTCGTCGCTGATCACGGAAGCGTCGAATGTCGCGATTGATAAGGCGTTTGAGGCCGATTTGGACGTTGAAGAGCTCGTCGTCAAGCCCGAGCACTTTGAGATTGCGCTCAAGAAGATGCGGCCGTCGGTCAATGCCATGGATCGCGCGTCGTATGCGCTGATTCACGAGAAGTTGTTTTCGGGCGGGTCGGGGACCGCTTGATTTGCAGGGGTTGTGAATCGTTGGTGTGCCTTGATATTAACGAAAGACTTGCTATTGGGTACCCACGAACTGGTCTGTTATGGTGAGCAACAAACCATTGATGCTTCTATGTCTTCTCCCATCTTGTGCCCAAGTCATACGCCCACCCCACAGAGTCTACCCAAGGCGCTCGAGAGTCTCCAGCGTCTTGCTAATGGACGATGTCAACGATGCCGTCGACGACAGGGCCGATTGCGGCACGACCATTGTCCTCCTCCTTCCCGTCGTTGCCTGGGTCAAACGTTCTGGCGTCGGCGCCCGATCCCTTTCAGCTGTGTGATGCCGCGACAAACTCAGGCCATGCGACGACCTGGGCGCCGTCGAGCTCGACAAGGAATGGCTCCCATTCGCCGCCGCGACCGACTCGCTCGGCGACACCGCGTCCGGTCCTGCTGCCGCCGCACACCTGCACTCACGCACCTTGCGCTGTAGCTTGTCGTGCGCGCGCAGTGCCTCCTTGCGCAGATGCCGGACCTGGTCGTTCTTCTCGGCAATCAACTGGTCCTTGAGCCGGATCATTTCCGCGAGCCGCTGCTCCCACGCGTGATCAGAGCGTTCCACTTGCCGCTGATGGTCCGCAACCAAATCCGCCGTCGCGGCCTTGGTCTCGGTCTCGACCTGGATCAGGAGCCGCTGCGTCTTGGCGAGGGCGTCGCGCAAGTGCTCCGCGTCCTTGCGCACGCGGGACTCTTCGGCGAGCAGCGTGTTGAGCGCGGTCTGGTCGAGCTTAGTCGCCTTGGTGACGGTCGCGCCGAGATCGCAGATCCGCGCTGCGAGCGTGTTCCACGCGGCCGCGTCGGCGGCTTGGTACTTGGCGCGGTACTCTTGGAAACTCGTGGCCTGCTCTTGCAACTGGCGGCGCAACCGGTCGCGCTCAACACAGCACCTTGGATGTTGTGTGGACGGCGAGACCGAGTCACGCTCGGGACGGTCCAAGCGTTCGTCGAGCGCCGCACGGGCCTTGTGCAAATCCTCGTCCAATGTTTGCCGGTGCGCGCGCTGCGCGTCCTGGTGTGCCTTCGAAAAGTGCTGCAGCCGCTCGTACACGTCCTGCACGGCGACCTTGGCCTGGTCAAACTCGGCGCTGGCCTTGACGTACCGCGTCTCGAGCCGGTGCGCAAACGCGACCACCTTCTCAAGCTCGGCTGCTTGCCGCTGCACCTGGTTCTCGATTTGCGCGAGCCTCATCCGGCTGGTCTGGCAGTCGCGGCACGGGATTGGGGCATCGGGGCTCTTTGCGCGGCCCGATCGCGACAGGACGGGCGACATGGATTCGAACAGGTGATCGAACCGTGCTTCGAGCGTGCGGTTGAACATGTCCGTTTCCGACTCGTCGTCGCGGATCGCCGCTACGAGATCGTGACGAGCACGCTGTGCGAGTTGGATCACGGCCGTCGTCAAGTCGTCGGTCTCGAGATCAGGGAAGTCGGCGAGAAGTTGCCGGATCGCGGCGCGGTGCTTGACAGCGTTGCGAATAAACTGCTCGAGCTCGGTCAGGTGCGCTTGGACGTCACCGTCTGGGACAGACGTGTTCGCCTGTGCGGCGTCGGCGACCCACGTGGACTGACAGCACGCACGAATCCGCTCCTGGACGTGCCGAGCTGATGCGAGTGCATCGTGAACCACTTGAGCCACTGCGAGCGGGCTGGACGCGGTAGAGTCGATCAAGTGCGCAAGACGAGTCATTTCCCGATGCCACACCTGACCTGCTACGGCAAGCTCCTCGTCCTGCGACCCGCGGTCGTCCT